TCCCAAATCTAGTAGCCAAATGTACACATCGAGGAAAAGAAGGATACTTGCAGAGAAGTATGCAAAAAGATGCCTCATTAAACAGTGCAGTATGGATGCCAAAAATATAGAAGGGGAGAGGACAGATTTGACTTTAGAATGATTTACCATGTGGTACCCAGAGGAGACAGCCAGACAAGTCCAATGATGTTAGTCCGTTCCTGTTTGCTCAGCTCTCAGGACCACACTTTCAGAAAAACAGGAATTCATCCAAAGGAGAAATTCCTTGATGATAATGGGATTCTCGACCTATGCCAATTAAGGACAAGTTGAAGGAAATGAATATTACCATAGAGATCACAGACATATTATATCTCTGTTATGTAGAAAAGATTTCTGTATAAGTACGCTAAGAGGTAAAAATTGGGATACGAATATTATAGAGGCAAATAGTACAGTTCACTATAAGGAAAGAGTTCTTAGGCTCAGAGCAGGTCAAATAAAGGAATGCCTCCCGCGTTCAAGATGAATCTTGATCAACAGCTCGCCTAAATTGATCTTAACATTCTCCTTGAATTTGGAAATAAGATCATCTGCTAAAAGTGAAAAAATAAAGATAATTTGGACTGGAAAACCTGGAGAACTCTGGAACATGCCTTATGGGGAATTTGATAGAAATTATCCAGGAATGAATAGAATAACTTCCGAGCAATGTTAACCATCCCTGAAGCTGAAGGTGGAGTGAATCAGGTGCTGGTAGGGCTAGTGGCAAGAGATTAAGGGATGGAGCAGAGCTGACATGGCTGTCCAACGTCAGTGCGCTGAGCAGAGGAAAACCGGAGAAAATCGGGACTGGCCAAGGTGCAGAGACACAGGACAGGAGGGTGTGTGCGGTGCTGAGTGAGGGGCTTACTGGAAGGACAGGAAAGGAGGTGGGGTCAGAAAGAGAATATGGAAGGCTCAGCTTTTTCAGCTGGGCAGCCCTGAGTGATGGGAAGGCCCGGAGGGCGGGGAGTGAACACCAGTGGATCCCCAAAGTGAAGCAGCGCAGGCTGAGGTCCTGGGGGTCCAGCGCGAGGATGCTGAATGAAGTTCTCAGCAATGACAGCTGATCAAAGTGTGGGAAGCAAATCCTCTGTTAGCATAGATTCCCAAGGGAAGTGGAATATTCAGGAAGTCAACAAGCACTGGTCACAGGGAGAGGGTAACACCCGTGAAGGGTGTAAACTTAGAAAGACCAGGGGTAGCTGGGCGATGGTGAAAGGATTAACAGTTAGGAGCAGCTCTGAACAGCCTGCAGGCCCCATGGGAGAAAAGCACAGGCATGCGTGTAGGACCAAGACCACAACAGTCCACGTAGGCTCCTTGCAAAACAGATACTAATCCTGACACGGTATCGTCGAACAGAATACCTACAGCACCAAGGCATCAAAAAACTTAAATCAATAACTAGGAAGACACCCACTATGTGCCAGGTACTGTGAATCCAAGGATGAATACCCTGAGGGAGATCTGAGTTTGGTAGCAATACAGACATCTGAACAGGTGTTTCTTTTGCAACTGAAGTATGTTGATTTACAATGTTGTGTTAGCTTCAGGTGTCCAGCAAAGTGATTCAGATACACACACACACACACACACACACACACACACACACATATATAAATCTTTTCAGATTCTTTTCCCTTATAGGTTATTACAAGATATTCCCTGTGCTATAAAGTAGGTCCTTGATGATGATCTGCTTTATAGACAGCAGTGTGTATCTGTTAATCCCAAACTCCTAATTTATCCCTCCCCGCCCCTTTGGTAACCATAAGTTTGTTTTCTATGTCTGTGAGTCTGTTTCTGTTTTGTAAATAAGTTCATTTGTATCTTTTTTTTCCCAATTCCACATGCAAGTGATACTGTATGATATTTATCTTTCTCTGGCTTCCCTGTCGGAACAGGTATTTTTATTTTTAATTAATTAATTTTTTTGGCCGCACTGCGTGGCATTAGTATCTTGGTTCCCTCACCAGGGATCAAACCCATGCCCCTTGCATTGGGAGCGTGGAGTCTTAACCACTGGACTACCAGGGAAGTCCCTAAAAAGGTATTTTTAATGTAAGGTAGCAGAGTGAAAGGGGACACATAGCTATGTCAGACCTGGAAAAAATTCAGGATTAAGAAGCTTTCCTGGGGGTGCCCAGACCCCTTTCCTGGGGTGTTCACTCCCAAAGCCACTGTCTTCTGTTGGCTTCTTGCTAATTCCTACTGCGGTGAGAAGGAAGAAGTGGTACCCGAGTGAATTAACTTAAGTTGCCTTTGATTTTCTGAAAGGGAGAGTTTATTTTAATAAAAAGATTATTAACGGCCAGAAAGGATTCCAGGCAAGCAGCTACACGCAGTTGATAATCACATTTCTGTGGCTGGGCCTGAGGGAGGGGGGATCATGGCCCAAAGCCCCTCCTCAGGGCTCATAAGGGCGTCACTCTCCTACTGCTGCTGGGCGGGGACTGGCCTAAAGCTCCTCAGTCCTGGCAAATAATTCTGTTCATACCCTGTAAGCCTGAAGGCTGCAGAAGAACAAGCCTGTGGGCCTGGCACTCAGGGGAGAGAGAAATAGATGAATTAGGTCAGACACTTCCAAACTGTTTGAGAGAAACAAAAGAACCCAATGTGAGTCAGGATAGCCAAAAAATCACTCCAATGCCAAACGAGTCAACTAATCTATGGGCGGCTGAATTGGTTCATCTAAAGACCTAAAACTTGCCAAAAGATTTTCTTGTATCAAGATGGAGAGCCCCAACCAAAATTGCTGCACAGGCACCTAACGAATGTTTACTGAAAACATCTAGATAGCCTAGGGACTAAAAACCAGTGAAATTATTGATATTTTAGAAAGAAAAGCAACTGTTTCTACAAATATGCAGAAAAGTAATAAACTAATGTTTAAGAAGAGCTGCTTGGGTACACATTTATAATTAAGTGGTATAAAAATCAACGATACATAAGTTATACATCCTAGCAAATAAAAGGGAAGTTAAGCAACTTCCTGGAAAATCTAACATTCCTAATGGAAATAACAATTTGAGTTATCACTTACTTCTTTAGTCTTTAGTCCAATATTAATTTAAAAAGTTTTTAAAATAATGCCTTAACACAAGATCATTTTATAAACCATAGTTATATGAGATTTGAGGACCAAACCTTGTGAAGCAACATCTCCTTCTACATTCTCAAGAACGACAAAAAAAGTATCTTGGACATGTTATTTTATACCCGGGGACCTAGTAGCGGGGACTTAAAGGGGCCTTTTATATTCATACACTATGAAACACCACACCAAGCATAAGTACTTTCTATTTGTGTTGGGTCTCAAAGAGAGAAAAATAAAATTCTTATTTCCTCTGTCATACATTAGAAAAAAGATCCTACAGCACAAGAAAAAACAGAATACCCATCTATTCATTACAAATTTCTATTAAACTTCAGGTACTTAAGTTTCCTCGCTGATACATTTAAAAACATACAAGTGGGTGTGTTTTATATGAGATGTTTAATTACTGTATCAATAATTATTCTAGAATTTTACCTACTACTTTATGTATACAGGCTTTATGTAAAGAGCCTACTGTTTTGATGTGAAAAGTACAGCTTATTTATTTTAACTCCATGCTTCTTATTTTTCTGTTGGGTCATAGATCCCTTTAGATATCTGAGGACTCTGGATTATCACCCTAAAAATGCAGAGACTCAAACGTTTAAATACAATTTCAGGATCCCCGGAAGCAATACACAGACCGAGCTGTGTAATAACTGAACAGAGAGCACAGACTGCACGGGCAAACTCCACCAAAAGCATAACACTGTTAACATGGCTTTTTGACAAATTAAGATTTGCTTCTAAATTTTAGACATCATATTTCTGTTAATTGCTGTTATTATTGATTTTGTCACTCTTCATAATATAGTACCTGAAATGACAACTCCCAAAGAAAACAAAAAAACATAGCCGTTTTAGGAAAAGCAACAGATTAGCTCCACACTAGGAACCAAGGTATAAAAATCTACATCCATCACTGAATAACGCTTATCCACGTGTCATCAGAGGGTCAGCGATGTTCCTCCCAAGAGCAGTTCTAGTTAGGAGGTAAGCATTTGATGAAATCGCTATCACAGGGCTGACCCTGATATGTTATAAATCAAGCTCTAATTTAAAACTGTATATATGACCCGTTCTACTTAAAATTCCAGGGGGTTTCAGTGTGTTGGAAACCAAGACGCCCCGGTCACAATTAAGCGACACGTTCAACCTTCTGGCTTACTTCAGAAGATACACGCTGTTCACCAAGTGCAAAATGAAGGCGCAACCCTGGGAAACGAGGGAGTAAAGGAAAGACGCACGGAATGCATAACCTGAAATCACATGACCACTCGCAGCGTAGCGCCCACACAAGTGCCGCCGCGAGGCTGCTCGGCCCACCCAGGACAGGCTGAGGGCACCGGCCCGACGCCAACCGCTCCCCAGGGCGCCGCGGTCACAGGGGGCATCGGATCCCCAAGCAGTAATTAACACGCGCACACACACACACAGACACGCGCGCGCGCACACGAACACACGCACAGGCACACGCGCGCACACACACACGCGCGCACAGGCACACACACACGCACACGCACGCAAACACACGCACACTCCCCGGCGGAGCCCGGCAGCCCCCCTGGAAGTTCGCGGCGGCCCCGCTGAGCGATCCCGGGGTCGCAGCCGCCCGGCCCCCAGGAGCGTGAAACGCTCACGCGCAGCGTGGCCGGACGAGGCTGCGGTGACGCCGGCGCGGCCTCACTCCCCGCGGGCCCTCCGCCCTCGGCCGCCGCGGGGCCCCGGGGCGCGGAGCTGCCCCCGGCGTGGGAACCGGCCCCGGTCCCGGGAGCGCAGGAGGGCTTCCTGGGGGGCACGCGAGGGCCCGGACTGGGGGCCGCGGAGAGGGCCGCCCCCCGGGAGCCCGGGCCGGCGAGGGCGCGCGGCGACCACTTACTCGGGGGCGTCTCGACCTCGGGCTGCGTTTCCGGCTCGCCGGCAGCTCCGGGCGCGCCTCGCAGATCCGCGCCGCCCGCGCAGGAGGAGAGTGGGCGGCGGGCGGCAGAGGGGGGCCCGGCGGCGGCACCTGCCGGTCCCTGCACCGGTGTCCCCACAGCCGGCAGCCGCCGCGCCTCTTCCCGGCTGCCGCTCAACAGGCAGGGCGGGCGCGGCGCGCAGCAAACCCGGTTCCCGCGCGGCGCCCACGCTCAGGCAGCCCCGGCCTCGGGCTCCCGCTCTCTCTCTCCCTCTCTCCCTCCCTGTCTCCTCCCCCCGCTCTCAGCCCTAAGGATCCCTCGCAGCGCCTCTCCCTGCGGTCTTTTCGGAACCCCTCCCCTTCCCTGCACCAAAAGACTGAGAAAGAAAGCAGCGGTTGAAACGCACCATGGTGAGGTTACGCCGGGCCCCTGTCCGCTCGCGGCGCGCCCTCCCCGCAAGTGTCGGTCGCCTGGGGGGCGGGGGGCTCCCGCGGCGGCTCCCTGCCTTCTGCGTGGACTCTAGCAGCCAAAGTGTAGGGAAACTACACCGAAATCTGCTCCTGGAAAGCCAGCTCGGGGCTGAGTGTCACCCACTGCGACCATACTAGGGCAGGGGGACTGAGTCCTCCAGCCGCCCAGTCGCCTTCCCAGCAGTTCCTGTGTGGAGACGGAGACCAGGGAACAGGGACAAAGGCAGAGAAAGGAGAAAGAGGGAGGGAACGCAAGGAAAATTTGGCCGACTTAAAAAAACAATGTTTTCCACTATGCACTGGGCCGGAAAAACCTCAGTTCTCCGTAGTTAGAAACTCCAGCATTTCTGCTGGGAAATTGATGTCTCTGCATGGATGGTTTTCGTGCCCTGGTTCTCAGGTTAAAGCCAATCTGCTCCTTTGCAAATGCAGTTCTATGGCTGCCGAGCATTTACATCTTTCCAGTAAGGTCCTGATTCTGCCTGGTTCGGTACATTTAGTTCTGTTTGTTGGATGTGCGGGGTGTGTGTGTGTGTGTGTGTGTGTGTGTGTATTCCAGAACAGAAAAATAAGTTCTTATATAAGTGTTTTGAGTCACCTTTCCGACCTCAAAAAAGCTCATTATGCTGTTTCATTTTGAATTCATAATTAGTCATGATTATTATGCGATCTTTCTTCAAACCCAGGAACTCTGAGATACATTGTTCGTGGTTATCTCCAATTCGTATATTTCTCCCCAAACTTACCCACATAAATCTCTCCATTTTAGACTCATCTCCCAGCCTTGACAACTGTGCTGTCCTCCAGGCAAACATCAGTCAGAATAAACATACATTTAAATAAGAAAAAATACATTTAAATAAGAAAAAAGGGCGTTTAACTAAAATTTGCCTTAGTATCGGGCAACTGGTCCAGAGCTATAAGTGCATTTTTTGGCTCTGCCATCTCTGAAACCATCTGTTTCTCTACATCCGATGCATGATAATCTCTTAGGTCAAAAGGGCTTTTGTCTTCAGAGAATTTAAGTGCTAGGAGGAAACAAATAAGAAGTACCCAGTATCGCATAGTTGAAAGAGGATTTCATAGTATTTTAAGAAAGATAAAGCTAATGATTTGAAAGCTCAGAGGAAGCACAGATACCATCTGACTGGAGACTATTTCATATCAGGATGGCAGTAGAGTCAGGCCTTAAAGCACAGATCATATCTGGGAAAAGATAAAATAGAGGAAGTTTTTGTCTTTTGTGTTTTTCAGGCAGCGGCAAACTTGTGAGTAAAGGCTTGGAGGTGGGAGGGCAGGACCCTGCTGTTCAAAAAGGGAGTGGTGATCACAAGGGTCGGAAAGGCCATCGTTTCTGCAAATAACAGACGCTGGAGAGGGTGTAGAGAGAAGGGGACACTCCTCCACTGTTGGTGGGAATGTAAACTGGTGCAGCCACTGTGGGGAACAGTATGGAGGGTCCTTAAAAAACTACAAATATTGATAGAACTACCATATGACCCAGCAATCCCACTCCTGAGCATATATCCGGAGTGAGCTATAATTCGAAAAGATACATGCTCCCCTATGTTCGTAGCAGCACTATTTATAATAGCCAAGACATGGAAGCAACTTAAATGTCCATCAGCGGGTGAATGGATAATGAAGATGTGGTGCATGTACACAATGGAATACCACTCAGCCATCAAAAGGAATTAAATAATGGCATTTGCAGCAACAGTGGATGGACCTAGAGATTGTCATACTACGAGTAAGTCAGAAAGAAAAAGACAGATACCATGTGATATCACTTATATATGGAATCTAAAATATGACACAAATGAACTTATCTATGAAAGAGAAACACACTCACAGACATAGACTTGTGGCTGCCAAGGGGGAGGAGAGTGGGGGAGGGATGAATTGGGAGTTTGGGATTAGCAGATGCAAACTATTATATACAGGATGGATAAACAACAAGGTCCTACTGTACAGCACAGGGAATTATATTCAATATCCTGTGATAAACCATCATGGAAAAGAATATGAGAAAGAATGTATATGTATATATATAACTGAATCACTTTTCTATATAGCAGAAATTAACACAACATTGTAAACCAACTATACTTCAATAAAATAAACTTAAAAGGAAGTCATTTGCAAAGTACACCAAAAAAAGTATAAGCAGATGAGGTAGAAAGGTAAGTGAGTCCAGACGGCCTCATTGGCCCGCCTTCTAGTTGTCATGCATTGCAGCCTCATATAAAACCTGGTGTTTCCTTTTTTGTTTTTCTCTACCGTCATTACTCTTCTCAACATACCCCTCGTCCTGGATCATGACTTGCTTGACCCATTCATTCTTGCCTTTACCAGCCTCAAATTCTAAGGCACACAGACTCCTTGGTAAGGACTACGGTGGACCTCAGTACTTTCTACCAGGACCTACCCAGTTTCACCACGGGTGGCTCTCAGGTAGAGTCCTGCGCGAGCAATCCCTCAGAGACATAGTGAGTTCAGTTCCAGGCCACCAAAATAAAGCACATATCACAATAAAACGAGTCACACAAATCTTTTGTTCCTAGTGCATATAAAAGTTACATTTACACTGTAGTCTATGAAGTATGCAGTAGCATTATGTCTAAAAAACAATGTATCTGCCTTGACTAAAAAAGTACTTTGTTGGGCTTCCCTGGCGGCGCAGTGGTTGGGAGTCCGCCTGCCGATGCAGGGGACACGGGTTCGTGCCCCGGTCCGGGAAGATCCCACATGCCACGGAGCGGCTGGGCCCGTGAGCCATGGCCGCTGAGCCTGCGCGTCCGGAGCCTGTGCTCGGCAACGGGAGAGGCCACGGCAGTGAGAGGCCCGCGTACCGCAAAAAAAAAAAACAAAAAACTTTGTTGCTAAAAAATCCTAACCATCAATGAGCCTTCAGCGAGTCTTAGTAGTAAGTCAAAGATCACTGATCACAGGTCACCATAGCAAAATACAATAATGAAAACGTTTGAAATATTGTGAGAGTTACCAAAATGTGACACAGAGGCATGAAGTGAGCAAATGCTGTGGGAAAAACGGCACAGATAGACTTGCCCGATGCAGGGTTGTCACAAACCTTCAATTTCTAACAAAAATGCAATAAAGGGAAGTACTAAAAAGGTCTGCCTGTGGCCCTCTCCCGTTCTCTCTAGGGTGTGTGGGAAAAGCAACCAGCCTGGGGTACAGGAACCACCAAAGCGTGATTGTGAGAGACATTCTCTAATCTGGATGACTGATATGCCCTGAAAAATTACTAAGAGTTCCTTGATGTTGGGAAGTAATCTTTCCAGCCTAAGTGCTTAGCGAGGAACATGGATCACAGGAGGGATTTGGTAAAATCATTGACTGGATAAATGAACACTTGAATATTTCATCACCTTTGAGATCTCTTCTGTCTCACAGATGATGTGTAGGTTAAAACCTACCTGCCTCCACTGTATTGAGAATAGGAAAGTTGTCATGACAACTTCATCAAAATGTTAACAAGGACAAGTATTCAGTTTAAAGCGACTTGACTTTCCGTAACTTTGTCTCTCAGGCAGAAAAGCTCAAGTTTTTCTTCTCAAGATGCTTCATTTTTCCTGTATGCACAATTGGCAACAGCACACAGGCATTCAACTGTGTGTTCTGTTCACATTTGCAGGTGACAATGGCAATCAGGTGCGATCTAACTCCTTGCTACTCAGAGTGTGGCCTGTGTATCTGCAGCAACAGCATGACCTGTGATCTTGTCAGAAGTACAGGCCTCAGGCCTCACCCCAAACCTACCGAATCAGAACTTTATTTAACAAAATCCTGGTTAACTCGTATGCGTATTACAGTTTTGGAACCACTGGTCTGCAGTCGGCTCCACCTGGAAATGGGTTTTATGAATCTGTTTAAACCTGGGGGTTTTTAGAGCAAGGCTCTTTCTTTTTTTCTGGGATGTTATTACCGTATCAGTTCAGATCAACTAATGGGACTAATGGATTCATCCTTTTGGCTTCTTGGTCTAGTTCATAAACAAAAACCACAAGTTCACAAACCAAGGGAATTTAGAAAAGGGAGAGGGTGGGAGGGAAGAAATGTGAGAAAATTGTACACCAGTATACATGTACTTTTTAAAAATATGTCAGAGGTAGAACTTCTCTTTACTTTTTAGCAAACAGACCATTACCCGTACTGTTTATCCCATCAAGGTAACTTGTCAATCTTCATGATCTTTGTTTTTCTCTTTATTATTCTTTTTTCCTCCTTAAGGTCATTTACTTTCAATCTGTTTGAAACGCACCTAGTTAGATGTCTTTTGCCCTGGTAACCCGTGATCAATCATTGGGACCACATTAGCATCCCAGGTCTCTTTTGGAATGTGAGGTTTTAATTAAGAAAAGCAGAACTCAGGAGGTCGGAGTCCCTAAATTTCTGGTCCTGACATACATGTTCACGAAGCAACGTGGGCTTTAAGAGATTCCAGTGGGGACGGAAATAGAGTTCATTATATTTTCTCAAAACAGATGGTGTTTGTCAGCGTTCAGTAGGGTGGTTGGCAGAATAATGCCCTCACGCCCTGCACCCCAGCCCCAAGATGCTGTGTCCCGATCCCTGAAACCTGTGAATAGCTTATGTTTCGTGGCACATGGCGAGGGGCAGTTAAGGTTGCACACAGAATTAGGATTGTAACCGATGGACCTTGCGGTGGGAAGATTACCCCAGATTACCCGTGTGGGCCCAATCACAGGGTCCTTATAAATGAAAGATGGAGGCAAGAAAGTCCGGGTCCGAGGCAGAGAGAGTCACAGGGATGCAGTGTAAGGAAGACTTGCCCAGCGATTGCTGGGTTGAAGGTGGAGAGGGGCGAGTAGCCAGGGATGTGCGCAGCCTCTGGACAAGGGTGAGGCTAG